CAGGCATGCGGTCCGCGGAGGGGATGCCGGGCTGAGGGCTGCCCAGCAAGGCCGTGCTCACTGGCGGGCGGGCGGGCAGCGGCGGCGGCTGCTCCATGGGACCCCGCGGTGGCCGCGAGTCTGTTCATCCCGTACGGGGAAGCGGCCGCTCGGCCGGAGGAGTGGCTCCGGGCCGGGGAAGGAGTGGCCGCTGCCGGGAAGGGTGGCGGTCGGCAGGCCGGGACCCGCGGAGCCTTTGACGTGGGTTCCAGTGGTTGCCAAGGCAACCGCGTGTTTACGCAGGAGCGTGGGGCGGGACGCCAGAGTCCAGTGCTCTCGGAAAAGCTGGCCCAGGACAGTGCCTGTGAGCTCCAGAAAATGCCAGGTCGGCCTCTGCAGGGACTACTGCCCGGCCAGATAAAGCGGACCTGGTCCGCAAATGACCAATTCATCGAGTGCTCTTTCGCGCTCGCTCTTGTCGGGTACAAATGGCGTACGAGGAGGTCTTTCTTGGGGGAAGGAGCGGGCGGGCTCTTTGCTTCCTGTTTTGATTTGGCATACGCAGGTAGAAAAGGAATCTAGAACCCGAAGTGAAAACCAATCCAAATCCGGGGTTCTTAAAATTTAAACCAAAAAACCCAAACCCGTTGCCATCGAGTCGATTCCAACTCATAGCAACCCTGTGCTTCTCAAACTTTATCGTGTACCGGAATCACTCAGAGGGCTAGGTCTCGAACTCAAGAGTTTCAGATTCAATAGGTCTGGGGTAGGGCCTGAGAATGTGCGTTTTTAACAAGTTCCAGATGATGATGATGATGATGCTGGGTCAAGGACCAGAACACTTTGAGAGCCATGGATCCAATGGGCTTGTTAAAATGCAGATTCCCTGGCTGACTCCTAGAATTACTGAGGATGGGCCTATGAATCCAAATGTCATAGGTGATTCTGACGCAGGTGATCTGAGGAGCTAGAATATGGACCTTGGAGGACGGATATCACCTGGTTTTCAAAGGCCTGGTTTTCCGGGATCTAACTAGCCAATACATGTGTAGGGGGTGGGGAGGAGAAAGGAGAGGGATTAGTCTCTTGCCCTGCTGGCAGCTTACCTCTGTTCTCCGGAATGCGATGGGTTTGGAGTCTAAGGTGCTGCCAGCCAGGCAGTCAGGACACTTGCATCCCCAGGTATCTGGCTGGGGGATTCAGGAAGAGGAAGGGCTTGACTGCCCAGGGGAGCTGCATCTCAAGTTTCTGGGCATGGCCTCTGATGGGGAGAAGTATGATCAGCCCTCAGGTTAACCCTGGGCCCTACTCTAAAGCAGTAGCTGGCAAAGTGTGAGCCCTGCACCAGCAGCATCAGTATCATCTGGAAACTTGTAAAAATGCAAATTCTTGGGCCCAATCCTAGACCTACTGTATTCCTTTCCTAGGGCTGCCTAAACAAAGTATCACAAACTGGGGGGTTTAAAACAACAGGAAATTATTGTCTCACAGTTCTGGAGGCAGAAGTCCAAAATCAAGATGGTAGGGCCATGTTCTTTCTAAAGTCTCTAAGGAAAGATCATTTCTTGTCTCTTCCTATTTTCTGGTGGTTTCTGGTAATCCATGGCTTATAAATGGCATCATTCCAATCTCTGCCTCCGTCTTCACATGGCTTTCCTCCCTTCTGTATCTGTGTCTATGTCTCTTCTTTTTTTATAAAGATACCACTCATATTGGATTAGTACACACCCTACTCCAGTATGACCTCATGTTAACTGATAGCATCTTCAAAGACCCTATTTCCAACCAAGGTCACATTCACAAGTACAGGGGCTGAGGACTTCAACATATCTTTTGGCAGGACACAATTCAACCCATAACCCTACTGAATCTAAAACTCTGGGGGTGCGGCCTAGCCACTTGTGTTTTAACAAGCCCTCTTTAGTTGATTCTGATGTATGCTCAAGTTTGAGAACCACTGTTCTAAAGAATGTACAACTGCTGGTGTTAGAATCAATGATATTAGTGCTGGTACTTATTTCAGTGAGGAGAAGTATCCTACTGGAAATTTACAGCATAAATAGAAGTGCATTTAAGGTGGTAAACTAAGACAGGGTTTCTCAACCTCAACATTACTGAAGTTTGTAGGCTGAATAATTCTTGTGGCGGGGGAGTTCTGTCCTATGTAGGATGTTTAGAAGCATCCCTGGCCTTTACTCACTAGAAGCCAGTAGCACCTCACCCAGTATGACAACCAAAAATGTCTCCAGACATTGTCAGATACCCCCTGGGGAGGGGGGCAAAATCACCCCCATTGAGAATGACTGAATTATAACAAAAATATTAGAACTATAATACCAAAAAAAAAAAACCAAACCTGTTTGCATGGAGTTGATTCCAACTCATGGAGACCTCATAAGTGTCAGAGTAGAACTGTGCTCCATAGGGTTTTCAATGGCTGATTTTTCAGAAGTAGATTGCCAGGCCTTTCTGCCAAGGCACCTCTGATTAATTTATTTAGTAATCTGTGCTAGGTTTTAGCAAACAACAAATAAGATAAGGATCCCAGCTCAAAGAGGCTTACCATCTTAGGCATTGTCTCAGTCATCTAATGCTGCTCTAACAGAAGTACCACAAGTGGATGGCTTTACAAAGAGAAATTTATTCTCTCACAGTCCAGTAGGCTACAAGTCTAAATTCAGGGCAACAGCTCCAGGGGAACGCTTTCTCCGTCGGCTCTGGAGGAAAGTCCATGTCATCAGTCTTCCTTTGGTCTGGGAGCATCTCTGCGCAGGAACCTCAGGTCCAAAGGACGCGCTCTGCTCCCAGCACTGCTTTCTTGGTGGTATGAGGTTCCCATGTGTCTCTGCTCGCTTTTCTCTTTTATATCTCAAAAGAGACTGCATTAAGATACTGCTCTTGTCAACCTCATCAGTATAACTCATCACAGTGATAGAATTTACAACACATGAGGAGATCACATATAATCTCATCATAGTGGTAGAGTTTACAACACATAAGGAAATCACATCAGATAACACAGTCATACAATACTAGGAATCATGACCTAGCCAAGTTGCTACACACATTTTTTGGGGGACACAATTCAATCCATGACAGGCATATACAAATTATACAAATATAATAAAATGTGATGTGTTGTAAAAATAATATACTGAAACTTCATTCTATGGAGGTAACTATTCCTAGAATAGCTAGTGATGACTTCACAGAAGAGGTGTCATTGGATACTCTTAAAAAAAAAAAAAAAAGAAGGGGCAGGGCATTTGATATGTATGCAAAGCCTGAAGGTTAGTGTTAAAGTACTCGGTTCTTGGGTACTGGTGAGAAGTGTCTAAATTCTAGGATACATGGAGGTGGGGAGTAAGAGGAAAATAAGTGATAAAAGTTTATTGGGGTCCTATTATGAAAAGCCTTGCATACCATGTAATGGAGTGTGAACTTCATGGGTGGGGAGGGCAAGGGTACTGGCCACTGAAGGAGTTTAAGCAAGGGAGGGCATGATCAGATGTATGGTTCAAAAAGACAAGAGGACCAAACATTCTCCTGGTTTTCTTCCTTCCTCACTGGCCTAGTTGGCCTGCTGGTTCATCTTCTTCCGCCTGCCTAGCCTTTAAATACTGGAGTTCATCCCTTTGGCTCTTCTAGACATCCGTCATCTCACCCACACCCAGGGCTTCAAAGACTATCTATATACTCATAACTCCAAATTATACGTCTTGCTCTAACCCACATATCTTGCTGCTTAGCATTTCCCCTTTGTCTAAAATCACCTCAAACTCAACATGTCCAAAAAAGGAATACATGCTCCTCTCCAAATTCCCCTCTAAAAACTTTGTCCTCAATCTTTTGTATCAGAAAATGGCACCACTATTTGTCTAGTTTACAAGCCAAAAACTTAGGATTCTTCCTCCACAAATTTCGCCTTATCACCAGCCCATGTGCAATCTATCACCAAGAACTAGGGATTTTATTTCCTAAGTATCTTTGTATCTGTTCACTTCCTCAGTCACTTCATCCACCACCTTAATCTTAGCTTTCATCATCTCTTCTTGGGATTACTGCCGTCACCTCCTAATTGATCTCCCCACATCCAATCCCTACTCCACACTAAAGGTCAAATGCTCTTTTCAGATTTGATCATGCCATTCACTTATTTAAAAACCCATAATGACTTTCCTCATTTAGTTTAGAATAAAGACCCCAATCTTTAATATTTCCTACAAGGTACTGCATGATTTGACATCTGCTTCCTCTCTAGTCTCATTTGGAACCATTTCTCATTTGTTCTACTCTAGCCACACGGGACTTTTGTGAGTTATTTAAACTTCCCATTTTAGAGTATTTGCTATCCCCTCTGCCTGGAGCCCTGGTGGTGCAGTGGTTAAGAGCTCAGCTTCTAATCAAAAGGTTGGCAGTTTGGATCCACCAGCCCCTCCTTGGAAACCCTATGAGCAGTTCTACTCTGTTCTGTAGGGTAATTATGAGTCAGAATCAACTCGATGCCAACGGGTTTGGTTTGCTTTTTTGGTCTGCCTGGAAAGCTCCATCTGTCATCCTGTCATCACACCCCCCTCCCCATTTCCTTGGATCCCCATCTATATATGAAAGTTAGTCCCTCAGGAGAAGCCTTCCTTGACTGACATACACCCCCCTCACATATTAGATCATGTTCCCGTTAGTTCCCCTTGGCATCCCATAATCACCATCCATAATTATATTTTTTGTGATTATCTGAGTATACATACATCCCAGTGTAGACCATAGGCTCTATGAGGACCAGAACCTAGTCTGTTTGGCTTTTTACTAGATCCCTGCACTTAGCACCTTGGCAGTTTGTTGAAATCCAAAAAATATTTTGAGTGAGTATAGGAGGACAATCTAGAAACTGGGAAGGGATAGAAGTGAGCAGTATTTAGAAGGTAGAATCAATAGAGCATTGAGACTGATTACGCACAGGTGAGAAGGGGAAGAGTAAATTTGCTCTAGAGTTTTTTAATCCAAAGGAGACAGGGTGAGGTACAGAAGGAATTAATATTATTCCATGGGTTCAGCTCTGGTTTGGATTAAAATTTAGAAAGATTTGGGTAATATCTGTTTTTAATGTGTAAGTCAATATTCAAGAAAGAATACATTTTTATTAAAGTACTATATCCTAGGACGAATTCTGGCTGTCCTATCTGAGAAATGGAGGAAGTGTAGTGGGAATATACTGGACTTGGAGTTTAAAGTCTTAGAAATTCAGCTTTGTATAACTTTTGGAGCCCTCGTGGTGCAGTGGTTAAGAGCCTGGCTGCCAACCAAAAGGTCAGCAATTCGAATCCACCAGCCACTCCTTAGAAGCCCTATGGGGCGGTTCTACTCTGTCCTATAGTGTCACTATGAGTTGGAATCTACTTGAGGGCAACAGGTTTGGAGTAATGTGACCTTAAGGAGCCCTGGTGGTGCAGTAGTTAAGCACTTGGCTGCTAACTGGAAGATCGGTGGTTCAAACCCACCAGCCACTCCATAGGAGAAAGATGTGGCAGTCTGTTTCCGTATAGATTACAGCCTTGGAAACCCTATAGAGCAGTTCTACTCTGTCCTATAAAGTTGCTATGAGTCGGAATCGACTCAATAGCAATATGTTTTGTTTTGATTTTTAATGTGATCTTAAGGAGCCTGCGTGTGCAAGTGGCTTTCAATTGGCTGCTAACTTAAAGGCTGGCAATTTGAACCCACCTGGCTCTGCGGAAGAAAGTCCTGGGAAACTGTTTCCATAAAGATTACAGGTAAGAAAAACCCTATGGAGCAGTTCTACTCTGTAACATAGGGGGTCGCCATGAGTCAGCAGCTAACAACAACAACAATGTGACCTTAGCCCAGTTATTTAACATGTCTGAGCCCATTTTCCTCAAATGTATAAATGGGATAAAAGCAGTGGCATACCAAGGGCAGGGAAGTGGGTGTGGTCTGCCCAGGTGCAGTCGATAAGGGGGGTACACTGTCTGAAGAGATTAAAAAAAGAATCGCAAAACCGACTAAAAGTCAGTCTGATTTTTATTATCACCAAGTGCTGACAATACTAAACAATGTCTGTGATAAAATACTCCTCCCCACTCTTAGTAGTCATAAGATGATAAGACCCATTTTATAGTGTACTTCATTAAAGTAGAGGATGGATATGGTGGTACATTACAAAAAGCTATAAATGAAACTTTTAAAAATGTATGCATTGTTTTTTTTTTTTTCCAAAATTAATGTGATGTGCTATTTGGAAAAAAAAAAATAAAAAGTAGTTCTATATTTACTTGGAGCCCTGATGGTGCAGTGGTTAAGAGCCTGACTGCTAACTAAAAGGTCGGCAGTTCAAATCCACCACCCACTCCTTGGAAACCCTATGGGCAGTTCTGCTGTGCCCTATGAGTCGGAATTGGGTTTTTGGTGTATTTACTTAAATATACCAATGACAGCAATGGGTTTTTGGTATATTTACTTTAAAAAAAAAAAAAAAAAGGTACAGCAAACTTCCTAATCTGTAAATGACCTGGTCATACTGAGTTAGTGATAGTGTCATTTTCTGGAGATAAGTGATTTTTTTTTTTTAAACCACAGAATTTTATAGAGAATTAGTGAAAAATATCTTAACTACTTTTGTGTAATAGGGACATGAAGAATATTAACTTTATAGCCTTCACTTTGGTCAGGTAATTCAAACACAGACCTAATAACTGGGTCTATACCTGCTGCTGGGTGACAAGGCCAGTTAAAATGAATTAAATGCTTCAGTTTGTATATGCTTAGAAATAAAATACTATTACCTACCTTACAAAGAGTCTACTGAGCTCCTGAGAGCATCACATGTTAAAAGAAATATCTTAATGCTTCAATTTATAATGAATGATAATGATCAAATATTATTTTTAACAGGCTCACAATTATTAACTAGCAAGAGTTCCAATAGTTAACATCTCTTTCATGTTTTAAGTCTACTTAGGATCCAGTTGGTAAAGTAGGAGGCTCATCCCACTGTAATGATTCAATTTTTGTGTACCTGCATTTCAGTGATGCAATAGCCAATTCCTTTTATTAAAGCCTTAAAGATAATAGCACAAGTCTTCTCACATCACTTTATGAGACTCCAGTTAGCTGTGGATGTAGGAGCTGGGCTTCGCAGCAAAGAAGACATCCCAGCAGTGGCAATAACAATGCACAGTCAAAGAAAGAACCGACTAGAAGGCAATTGGTTAGTCAAAGAAAACCGACTCCTCCCCTCTCCTTCCCAGTCTGTTTATGTTAAGTGTTGATTACCTTATAATAATCCATCTGCCTTACATGCTGCTTATAGACAGGATGCTATTTCACTAAAAACTAGAAGACTAAAATAATGAATTGGTGAGGTTCATTGTTGTGAGGGCTACTATTTAAGATATTTATTCAAAGTCTTTAAAACAAAATAATGTAACAATTACCACAGAGTAATATTTTAAAAGTAAACATAATAAGGTTTTAATTTTACTAGCTATGTTAATAACTAGAAAAAGATTCTGAACTTTTGGCATTTTGTATTCTAGACATAAGTGATATTTATACCAATATAACTTTGCAAATATGAAGTATTTAAAAAAAAAAAAACCCGTTGCCATCAAGTCGATTTTGCCTCATAATGACCCTACAGGACAGACAGAATTGCCCCATAGGGTTTGCAAGGCTATAATCTTTATGAAGCAGACTGCCACATCTTTCTCCCATGGAGCAGCCAGTCGGTTCTAACCACCAACCTTTCAGTTAGCAGCCAAGTGCTTAACGACTTCGCCACCAGGGCTCCTCAAATAGGTGTAAACCCAAAAAACCAGACCTGCTGCCATCGAGTCAACTCATAGTGGCCCTATAGGATGGAGTAGAACTGCCCCATAGGGTTTCCAAAGAGCAGCTGGTGGATTCAAACCGCCAACCTTTTGGTTAGCAGCCGAACTCTTAACCGCTGCACCACCAGGGCCTCCAAATAGGTATAGTGACTTTACACTTAGCCACAGAGTACTATTTTAGAAAGAATGGAAGTTAGCTCACATGTTTAAACATCACATATTGTTTTTCACATGATTTAGAGAAAAACTACTTATAGATAATTGTTTTAAAAAGAAATCTCTTAAAAGTCATAGAAGAAGTCACTTGAGAAGAAATCCATCCTTCAGTGGGTCATTGTCTTCTACTGTAAAGCTTGTTGTACCTGTGTAATGGGCTTGTCCTGATACTTCCACTATAACAGCTTTAAAATCACCACATTTTGCTTCCTGCAAAAAAGATGATGGAGTTTAATATCAAAATATCACACTCATATCTGACCTAAAAGTTATACTAACGATTAGAAAATCTAAGGATTAGTCCCACAGGCAGTGGAAGGTCTTTAGGAGAGAGACATGATGAAACTTGTTTTAGGTAAGTTAAGCTATAAAGTGGAGGACAAATTGGAGAGGAAAAAGACTAGAAACCTGGAAACCAGTTAAGAGGTAATTTTAATTCATTGGTTGAATCCAGAGTTACCAGAGCAGTGTTTAGTGAGGAAGGAGAAGGAGAACACAATACAGAGACACTCTGGAGGACAGCCCTGGTGACTGCTGCATGTGAGGGATGAGGAATAGGAATACATTAATGATGCCCATAGTTTCTAGCTTGGGAGTGAAGCTAGTGATGGCATTAACCAAGATGAGAATGAGAGAAGGAGTCCATTTAAGAAGGAAGAAAGAACTTTTTAACAAGTTGAGTTTGAGATATCTCTGGAACAATCAGAGTTAAGCATAGTGACAGCTGGGAGCATAGACGCAGGAGAGAGGGACAGGGTAGGGATTAAGGTCTGGATGTCATTAGCAGTGGATGGTTTAGAGTTGAAGCCTCAGAAGGGGATGACATTGCTCAGGGGCATCAAATTGCAGGTGAGATGAGAAGGAGGCTAAGGATGAATGCTGAGAATACCTAAGTGGAAGGACAGGAAAAGGAAGCTGGGGAAGGGAAAGAAACTGAGAAGGTACAGAGAGCCTGGAAGGGCCCAGACAGACAGGGAAGGAGTATGGTGCAAGTGAAGATATTTTTGCATGCATGATTAATAACTATAAAAGAAATGACTTCAAATCTTAAACCTACAGACGATCTTTCTCTTTTCTAATTTTTAAATCTGAATAACTGAAACTCCAAGCTAAAATGTCAAATAATCGACTAAGGTACATTAACTTTATTATATTTTTATAAAGCTGCTATAATATAAAGCCTCATTGAAAACTTCTGCTTTGTCTAACAGTATAATGCAATGCTGAACAGCATTGGATCTGAGCTCAGAGACCTAGCTTCACATACTGGCTCTCTACTCGCTGTTTGACCTCTGGCAAATTACCTAACCTCTCTAATTCTCCATTTTATCATCTGTTAAAAAAAGATAATAACAGTATTTGCCTCCTAGGATTTTTGTGAGGATTAAGTGAGATGACATGTATAAAGTGCTTAGCTTGGAGACCAACCCATAGTAAAGCACCCAGTAAATGCAGATTATTATTATCTTCAACCGCAACTGCTTAAGACAATGTGTTCTAAATTTCTCCGTAAGAAATAAATGAGTTTGGTATATCATAAAGTCACTATATAATACAGGAAGTCCTAACTTAAAGAATAAGGAGCCCAGGTGGCACAGTGGTTAAGCGCTCAGCTGCTAGCCAGAAGGTCAGTGACTTGAACCCACCAGCTGCTCCACAGGAGAAAGATGTGGCCGTCTGCTTCCATAAAGATTTCAGCCTTGGAAACCCTATGCGGCAGCTCTACTCCGTCCTACAGGGTCACTATGGGTCAAGTTGGAATTGACTTGACAGTAATGGCTTTAACTTAAAGAAAAGTCAATATTCAGAAAAACCAAGCTTTAAAAACAGCTATGTTAGGATGGATCGTTTGCTATGTCAAAGGTCTCTAGGAGGTGATTCATTTACTAACAGGTCTCATTAATTAGCTTTGTTAGCACATTTAAAAGTTGATTTCATTACAAAAATTCTATTTTCCACAACTTTCCAAGACCTTCACATCCTGTTATAGAAAAGGAAACAATCCTACAGAATATGAAAACCAAACCAAACCAGCCAAACACTAGTTTAGTGGTTTTCAAACTTTTGGTCTTAGCACCACTTTACATCTTAAGATTTGAGGATCTCGAAGTGTTTTTGTTTATGTAGCTTGTATATCAATATTTTCTGTATTGGTAATTTAAACAGAGAATTTACAAATATTTATTAATACATTTAAACAATAAGCCATTAGATGTTAACAAAAATAATATATTTTTGTGAAAAAAATTTCCAAAACAGAAAAACATTTAATGATGTGGCGCTGCTTTACATTTTTGCAAATCTCTTTTATGTCTGGCTTAATAGAAGAGAGCTGGATCCTCATATCTGCTTCTGTATTCAATCTGCTGGGATATCACACATCATGTAGCTTCTGGAGAATACCACTGTGTACCCGTGAAAGAATGAGAGTGAAAAATAATGTCTTAGTATTATTATAAAAATAATTTTGACCTTGTTGAACCCCTGGAAAGACTTGAGGACCACCAGGGGCCTCAAGACCATACTTTGAGAACCACTGCCCTAGTTGAACAGAGGTTTTTACAGGCCTGCTTTAAAATGTCTCTTCTCAGAGCTGAGTAAACAAACTTAACATCCAACTCAGGCCTCTACAGTCTCATAAATAACACATTTACAAACAAGAAGCTAAGGGTGTGTCACTCACCCTCACAGCCTTCCCAGTGAATACTGAGCCAGTTGCACTGCTTTTAAAGGCTCTGGTCTGGTTCAGTTCCAGAAGCCCTTTGTGATACTGTAAGGCAATTCGGGCTGTCACTCCTGAGCCAGTAGGACTTCTGTCAACCTGTTTCAAAACAAATGAAAATGTGTGGGTGCATATATGTATATGTATGTAAATTAAAAAATAAAATATGGGAAATAGCATGCTCAATCTTATTATATAACGTCTTTATAGAATTCCTTGTGTATTAAAATTTAATATCATAGGGTATAAATGGAGCCCGGGTGGCACAGTGGTTAAGAGCTCAGCTGCTGACTAAAAGGTCAGCATTTCAGATCCACCAGCCGCTCCTTGGAAACCCTATGGGGCAGTTCTGTTCTGTCCTATAGGGTCGCTATGAGTCAGAATCAACTCAATGGCAATGGGTTTGGTTTTTGGCAGGGTATAAATATGATATAAAAATTTATAATACTTCCGGGGTTTCTCTGGTGTTTTATTAAGGGTTGATATTGAACTTAATTTCTACAAGCTGTAAAATATAATTGTCTACAGTAGATATTTTTAAATGTATTCAGATCAAAAGAAAACTACATACAAATTATGTGATACAGTTGTTGTAAATCTTAATAAATTTGCCTTTAAAGTATTTTAAAATTATTTCTATTACACCTTCAACAGAAAGAATTTATAAAAATCTTGTCGTCTACATGTCTGAAGCAGTAGTAACTCTCATGCATAAAAGTAACAACAAACTAGAAAGCCTTTTGAGTAAAATATAGAACAAACAGCAAATTAGCACTAGTGCCAAACTGCAGAATAAAATAAAGACCTTACCTTTGTATTATTAAAGTGAGCAGAGATAAAATTCCATTTCAAAGAAATGATCACCAAAAATATTGAGATTAGAAGGGGCCCAATATAAAGGCACCTTTCTTCCTTACCTGAGTTCTGAACTGACTGAGACATAAGTCAAAGCAGTAAGGCAGATGGAGATCAAAATGATCACCTTAATTACTCATAAGGGATGCTGTATGAGGGTATGATGTAGTATGAAAGCTTCCTAGCACCACACCCCAAAATGAAGCAGACTATTTTACCCCCATAACCCCTGGAGAAGCAGAATGGAACACCTACATTCTGCAGGCATCTCCCATGCCTAATTTCTCCTCTCAAACTCCCCTAATTGGTTTAAGCCTCTCCTCCTCCCCTGGGACACAGAGAATGAGGGGGTGGAGAGAGGCCAGGAGGGTTACACTAGCGGGGGTCCCCTCACATGGCAAGAAATATCAAGAATGGGGAAGAAGCATTTCCCCACATGAGACTTACACTGTTTCAAATACATTGTGCATCAAATAATAGACCCTACACATAGCAGAGTCTCTGAGGTAAATAAATCCTATTTCAAAATGACTTTGTTAGAAAGAGTAATACAGTTGTCATAGAACACACTGGTAGAATCCAAAATTCCTGGTTATGTGGGATCTGGATAGTTCATTTCTTTATATGGGTCACATGAGGAACTTCCCTAATGGAAACAGGAAGTCTTCTTGTAAAACATATTTAATATTCACTTTTCTCAGTAACACTGCTTGGTCATCTAGCTCACAAGAACCTGATACTAGACAGAAGTCATATATACATCCTGGCCACAAAGAAAAAGAAAGGATTCCTTACAGTATGTGAATACAAGTTTAGTTCACATAATGGAAAATAATAGTATAGATAATTTGTGTCAGACATTTAACCTATTATCTCATATTATCTGCAGGACAACAATCCTATGAGATAGATAGGGCAAGCATTATCCTCGTTTTTCTGAGCTGAAGAAACTGGGGCATAGAAAGGTGGGGTGGCTAGCTGGGGAAAGAACAAAATTTTAGTTCCATATTATCTGGTTTTTGTGCTTAAAATTATGGTTTCAATACCTGTGCATCTGCAAACACACAGATGTTGGCGGTTGGTTCCTCACTATAAGCGTCTTTTCCATCTGTTAATATAGTTCCATACAGAAAGGCAAGATCTTCACTATCAGGATGATTAATTTTAAACTGAAAATAACAGCAACAAAAAAAACCCATATGTAAAACAAATGTTTTTATTCAAACTTATCTTTATAAATAATGCAGATGGGAAACTCTTTGACACAACTTTTGATCTTTATCATTTGTACATTTGTGGAATACCTCTTTGGGAAAGGCATCTCTGTCTAGATGAATACACATGGTTTTATTGGAAGTTACGATTCTTATCTTACTTTGAGTCCTTTCTAAAAACGTTCTGCAAATAGCCTCTACTAAAGGAACAGCCTTATTTTATACATCCCCCAACCCGAACACACACACACTTTGTAGTACTGTCCCCAGGAAGGCCAATCCACAGGCTGGCCATAGTTGCTCAAAGAGGATGAGCTAAGGCACTCATATTCTCATTCTCAGGAGCTTGAAGGGGATATGTGGAAAAGTCAGGCAGTGAGTATCCAGGGCAGAAGTTAATAGCATTGATAGAGTCAAGGGCTGTGAGAAGCCACAAGCAAGCAAAAGGCATAAGAATGTAGACAGTATTAGGTAAGAGAAATAATTGAATAATAAAAAAAAGAGTAATTGTAGAGGATGAAGTCAGCTGGTACCATGAAAATCAGCAGATACATACAGAGAGCAGCAGGGACTGGCAGAGAAGCTAAATCATGTCAATAGTAAAGCATGCCCAGGCCCAAATGTGCAGAAGCCCTGGTGACGCAGTAGTTAAGAGCTTGGCTGCTAACCAAAAGGTCAGCAGTTTGAATCCACCAGTCGCTCCTTGGAAACCCTATAGCGCAGTTCTGCTCTGTCCTATAGGGTCACTATGAGTTGGAATCGACTCGATGGCAACGGGTTGTTGGTTTTTTTTTTTTTTGGTTATCCTCATCTCTACAATAGCACTATTACATCACACCACTCACAGTTGTCCTAGTTTCCTAGGACTCCCATAACAAAGTACCACAGAGTGAGTGGCTTAAAACAACAGAAATGTATTGTCTCATAGTTCTAGAGGATAGAAGACTGAATTCAGGACATCAGCATGGCCATGTTCTTTCTGAAGGTTCTACAGGAAGATCTTTCCTTGCCTCTTCCTAGCTTCTGGTGGTGTCTGGTAATGTCTGGCATTCCTCGGTTGTAGACACATCATTCCAATCTCTGCCTCATCTTCAAATGGCCGTCTTCCCTCTGGGTCTCTGTCTCTTCCCCTCTTTTTAAAGGATACCACTCATACTGGGTTAGGGCCCTACCCCATTATGACCTCATGTTAACTGACAGCATCTTCAAACACCCTATTTCCCAACAAGGTCACATTCACAGGTACTAGAGGTTAGGACTTCAACACATCTTTTTTGGGGACACAATTCAATCCATAACAAGAGATATGCTTCCCCCTCTAGACCGAGCTCCTTAGAGGTGGGATTTCTTTTTCCTTTGATCTCCAGTATTTAGCATACTGTCTGGCATATAGTAAGTGCTTGTAAATGTTAAGAAAATAAATAAATGAAGATGAATTTATATTACATTAAGTCCCCCCTCCCCCCTGCAAAAACCTCTTCCCTCAATCTACATCAGCAGTATGAATGGTCAAGCATTCACAAAATAGTCCTACTGCCAGATATGTCACTGAAAGAAACTGTTCTTCATATATTTTGCAGAATCCCTCCTCCCCAATGTCACTCCCCTCCATACACCTTGGTGAGAAGTTTGAGCTTTAGTGAGAAGTTCAGAATGACTCCTTTTTTTTTTTTTTTTTTTTTAAGAAAACTATGCTTTTTTGTATTGATTTCATTAAAAGTCAGGTGAAATTATTTTGTGCCAAATTGTTTACTCTTAAACTTTTACCTGTCTGCTTAATGAGACAGCAAAACTAATGTAAATTCAGAACTTCAGAAGTTACTATGATAAAATAATTCCACACATGAAAGTGTATCGACAGACTTGGAAAAAGAATAATTTAGAACTGCAATATAGTATACATGTTCATTTTGCTATTTAAATTATACATAATGTTAAATTAAAGCCTCAGGAGTATTAATAGGCCCATCAATAATTATTAGTACAAGTATATTAGACACTATCATAAGTCCTTTTTTACTTAGAATAATAATTCTCATATGCCAACACATTCAAATACTGTATATGTATTTTACTTGTAGGTCCCAGTTTCAAGGTAAAATGGCAGACTTGTGTTAGAAATGAAGGAATATTCTAGACTCATTTGTTATCTAAACTGACTTTATCAGAATAGTTTTCCCAAGCCAAAACTAGGGTTACTTGAGCAGTTATTTGAGTAACTTCTTAGCAATATAGGAAAAATTCCCTAAGTAGGAATTAATGTTCTTCATGAAGAGAAAACCTTGTTAGACTTAATAAAATTATTTTGTATGCTATATTTTATATTGATTATTTTCAAGTTTTACAGAGAGAATGATCAAAGCATATGAATTTCAAATTAGTGGAATACTATATAATACATTTACTGTATGCTTAAATAGCCACAAACTATAATAGTGTGTGTTAGTAATAATACCAAAACCCAAACCTGTTGCCATCAAGTCGATTCTGACCTGTAGTGACCTTATAGGACAGAGTAGAGCTGCCCCATAGAGTTTCCAAGGAGCACCTGGTGGATTTCAACTGCCAACCTTTTGGTTAGCAGCCGTAGCTCTTAACCACTACGCCACCAGGGTTTCCGTTATTAATAATAGTTATCATTTATTGGGCATTTATTACCAGGCAAGCATTATTCTAAGTCCTTTATATTGACTGATTTAATTCTTACAACAAACCTATGAAGTAGGTATGCTGTGATTTCCATTTTACAGATAAGGAACCTGAGGCACACAGGGGTTATGTTAATTGTCCAAGATTATAAAGGTTGCAAAGGTTACAAGTGGCAAGGCTGGAACTCCCAGGTAGTCTGGCTCTAGAACCTAAGATTTAAACCACTATCCTATTCTTAGTACTACTAGTAATTTAAATATATAGTTAATTTTCTTATAGGCACAATAATTTACATTTCTTCCATGCCACAGGTGAGTGTTTTTTTATTAAGGCAGCAATTGTACTGACCTGAGCTTTCACTGCTTCCGTCACTGCACTTGCTGCATCTACGAGGTCCCTGGTCTTTGCAGAACAAATGACAAGTCCAAACTTTTCAGCACTGACGAATGCATAAAATGTGCCACCATATGCAATGTCTACCACCACCTTTCCATGGCCAGGAACATCGACTGTGAGGTCTAACAAATATGTTTTTGTAAATAAGTTTGTTTTTAATATTTCGGCAAACAATTCACAGCATTTTAAGTACATCTATTTCTGTGGAGATAGGGGGAACTTTTCACACTGTGGGGTGAGGATTTTAACTTTATCTAAAGAATTTGGTCTTCGTCCTTGGTCCTGAGGGATAACCTCGGAAACCTTGGAATTTCCGCAGTGTCTTTGATGAGGCCGCCAGACCACACCTGAGAGTTTATGCTAATGAGGTGACTCAGGTGACTCATGCTGGCCAGGCCAGAAAGACTCACTTCATATCAGCCGACCTCAGTGGAGGGGGTCTGATTCAATCAATAATGCCTACAAAATGAGGCCCCAATAAAGGCTCCGGACATGGAAGCTTCATGGACTTCCTGGATGGTGAAAGACATCCATGCACGTGGGAGTGTGCACATCCCTTTTTGGGACCTGGAAGCTCCCTGCTAGGAACCCTCTTGAACCTTGTCCTGTGCATCTCTTCATTTGTATCCTTCTTGCTATAATAAAACTATAATCATAAGCATAGTGCTTTCCTGAGGTCTATGAATTGTTCTAGTGAATTATCAAACCCAAGGGAGTAGCAGGAGCCAGCAGGTCAGTTGTGAAGGGGCACTTGGGGGCCTCTGAGCTTACGGCTAGTATCTTGAGGGAGTAGAGAGGATCCCCAAGTTTGTAGCCAGAGGTCAGAAGTGAAGGGAGCCCTTGGGATCCCCAAATTTTCCACGGCATCCTGAAGGGGTAGTGGGAAAACCCCAAATGCCACTGGTGTCTGAAGTCTTCCACAGTCCGGAGGACTGTGCCTTTTAACTTGTGAGGTCTGACCTAGCTCTGGAAGAAGTACTACATGTGCAGAGAAATGGAATTGATAAGAGATTCATTTGATTCATCCACATATTTGGTGTCAGATAAGTGGGATTTGATATCTTCACACCTATCATAAACAGGAATGAAGGAAAGCACTTCCGGGCAACATGGCGCTATAGTCAGAAGCACCACACCATCCCTCCACAGCAAAGATCAGAAAAACTAAGTCAAACAGAGTCACACTTCAATCCTGAAACCCTAAGCATCAAATGAATAGATAAAGAACTCAGCCAAGCACTGAATGGAATAAGAAACTGACCGAGAACAGACAGTGAGAAGAGATATACGCAGAGGTCCCCTATCAGCTACTCCAGCACAGATCCGCCATACTGGAATCCTATCAGAGATCAGCGAACAGGGGGTACGAGAAAGCAGCCTCATGGAGCTTCCAGTAGGAGACAGAACAACCGGTAATGAGCGATATATGCTTTCCCACCCCCCACCCTTCTTCACCCCCACTTAGCCTCCTCTGCTTCCTGCAGCCACAGTCACTTGGCCAGGAAGCACCAGCTTCACCCCAGTGTTGCTTGGATTCTACCTGCCTGCACTGGCCAGCTCCCTGAGTGCCTTTTGTTGGCTGCAGGTGTTGCTTTTTTCCGCTTCTTTAGATTTCTTCCTTACCTCTCATCGCCTCCCCCTCCTTTCTCTCAAATACCTGGCTCTGTGTGCCATCTTTGCTTCTTCCTGAAAGGCTGCGAAACACTGCTGGACTGTGAAACTGCTTCCCGGCCCATGGCGCCACACTGTTGGGATCCCTGGGGCTTGTTTGTTTGTTTGCTCTGATTTGTTCTGTTTTGATTTGTTTGTTTTCTTTTTCCTTTCTCAGCTTGGAAGCCCCTTCTAGCCAGGCAGTACCACGCGGCTTGGAAACACTCCCTTACTCTGCAGAGACACATAGGGACATCCCTGGGGGCATTTCTTTATTCTAGTTTTTTGTTGTTGTTGTTGTTTTGTTTTCTTTTCTCTCTTATTCCCTTTTTGTCTTCATTTCCAGTTTCTCGATTTACTCATTTTTTCTTTTACCTTTTTTCTTTTTTTTTTTCATTTTTGTTTTTCCCCATTTCTCAGTCTCTCATCTCTCCACTCCAATAGCAAGCTCCCTTAGCATTCTTTTTTGTTTTTGGCTCCTGTTCCTCTCTCCTCTTTCCCATACCCATCTTAGCGCCACACATCACAATCTACCCCCTCCTTCCTGCCTACCTGCACCGTGCGCTGAACATCACAATCCAAAGCAGCACAGGCACGGCCTACTGGAACCTGCCCTGCACTGATTCCCAGTCCGCATTGTTAGCCCTGGTACATGCCACAAACAACCCATCCCAGCAACTCCCCTTCAGCTGGACCTGCCCTTCTGTAACATACCTGAGTGACTGACCCTGCCCACTGGAGAAGGAGGTGAAAAGTATCGTGCCACAGATGAGCAAACAACAAAGAACGCACAGCCCACCAGCTTAGACATAACCAAATAAAACAAAAAAGCAGGACAAAACAAACAA